TGAGGCCTGGTGGAAGCAGCATGTCGTCCATGCTCAATCGAAGCTGGATGTGACCTGCCGTCGTTGCGGACATCAGTCCCTCAGCACAAGCCTGCAAAATTTGCAGCGCGGCCGATCTCCTGCTTGCTTGTGTTCAAGGAAAACCGAAGCGAAGCTGAGGCAGTGGTTAGTCCACGAGGTTTCCCCGACCATATCCATGCAAGTCCCAGGCTGCAGGAACCCAGATACCAACTACAGCCTGCCTTTTGACTTCGGCCTGAGTCAGGAGAACATCCTCATAGAGCTGGACGGAGAAATTGGGCACTTCGGCCGCGGGTGGGCTAAATCTGAAGATGACGGTGGCATGCCGTTTAGAGATTTCATGAAGGAGCAATGGGCTCAGCGGAATGGTAAGACTGTAATCAGACTGCTGCAGGAGGATGTTTATGATGACTCCTGGGATTGGCAAGGATTCTTAAAAGCTGCTATTCAGTATGTAATTCAGAATTCAAGGCCCTGTGTGCTGACACAGGCTGCAGTGCAGTACAAAAGTGGCATTTACCGCAAACTTCGCAGGACTATCTCGTGCCGTGCTGGCCAATTCCAAGCAAGCGACGGTGCTAGTATTCCATACCTTGTTTACAGAATGCAGGAGAAACAGAGCCCTGTTGCCTGCATCTTGCGCGCGGAGTGCCTCTGCATACTATGTTGCATGGCAGGTTAAGTGGAGTATATGTTGGTCCCAAAACCGAACTACGCAGATGGGTTATAATCCCCACTATTGGTTACAGTGCTTCGCAGGAAGAATCTGATCCCTTATACTGGGTTACCCGACAGATGAGCGCTGCTCACAACGGCCTTTCCCAAACTCTGAGTCGCCCTTTTACCTACCCGAAACCCTAAACCACAAACCCCCAAAATCTCCGAAGGTGTGGCCATGTTCAACATGAACCCGCGCGTGAGCGATAGCCCGCTGGATGCTCCCCGGGAGTTCAAGGCCTACTGCCACCAGGCTCGTTCTAAAGGGCTTCTATAGGAGTATGTAGGGTATAGGATTTAGGATTTAGGATTTAGGGTTCAGGGTCAGGATTCGGGTTTTAGGGCTTAGGGTGGGCCTACTGTCACCAAGCTCGGTTTTCGGATGCTTCTAAAGGGCTTCTATAGGGGTATGCAGGGTCTAGGGTTCAGGGTTTAGGGGTTCTATAGAGCTATGGAGAGTATTGGGTTTAGGGTTTTAGGGTGTTGGATTTAGGGTTCAGAATGTAGGGTTTGGGATCTAGGGTTGAGGGGCAAGGATTTAGGGTTCAGGGTAAGGGATCAGGGTTTAGGGTTCAGGGATTCGGATCTAGGATTTTGGGTTTACAGTTCAGGACGTGGGGTTTAGCGCTTAGGACGTAGAATTTACTGGAAGGAAAGCTGGGCTTCTACAGGGGTTTGGAGCGATAATGTAACGTAGGGGCCTAAGTTATTTCCAATTGTCTGGTCCCATACTATCCAGCGCTGGAAAATCACATGGAAATGAACATGGAACATGGAACAGAAGCTGGGTCTATACAGAAGTCCATAGGGTAGAAAGCACAACGACCAGACTTCTGGGAAGCTTTCCAACCTAAGCCCTATAAACTCTAAATCCTAACTCCTGAACCGCGCATGAGGAACCCATGTCCATTGATTTTCTGGGATATTGATTGCGACCCATTACACTCTGAAGCCCTAGTCCCTGCTGGCTCCTGAGCCCTGCTACTATGAACCTCATAAAAGTAATCCACAGAGTCCATGTAGCTGTATCGTATATACTTGGGCACTGAAGTCGTTGTAGGACACCCCTTTGGGCTTCAAGTAGATGCTATATACCTACCCTAAACCCTAAACCCTAAATCCTGTAAACCCTAAACCCAAAATCCTGTAATACATACCTACATGGACCCTGGGGCTAGCCTCTGCGCCCGGGCCAGGTGAAGCAGAAGTTCCGTGCAGTTGTCTTTGCTGCGGCGCAACTACGGGCGGAGGCACGCGCAGTTGAACCAACTTCAGGGTTACCATCCCAAGAGACAAACATAGAATAGGAAAAGAACTACAGACTTCATTTTTGGGAGAATATTCCACCCAACCCCTTTCTTTGTACTGAAACCTGAAATGGAAATTCCATGTTTCTTAAACTTCTCCTCTAACACTGATGAACCCCAGACCCTCAACTCAGCACGTTTGCAGGTTCTCGTTTGCCCTGATGTCGGCTGCGGAGTCTTCGGAAACGACCCCCAGGCACAACCGAGTTCAGGGTTCAGAGTCATTGACATGGGTGGCCATGCATCTGCTATAAAGCCCTTAGCCTTCTCCTAACGACGGAATCCCTACAATCACACTACGTGGGGTCTCTGAATTCTGCCATATCCACTTCAGCATGCGCAAAGCCCCAATTTGAAAGGCTTAAGCCAGAACAAAAACCATTTCCCCAAAAGGCCTAAGCCCTAAACACTAGACCGACTAGACTCCAAACCCTGGATCCAAAACCTTCAGCCCTGAATCCTAAAGGCTAAGTCCTAAGTCCTAAACCCTGGATCGTAAGTCCTGGCCCTAAACCTTTCCACTGCTTGAGGGGGGGAACCTGGCCTGCGTGAGCGACTCCTGGTCTGCCATCCTAGCCCTAAACCCTAAAAGCTCAAACCGACATCCTAAGCCCTGAGCCCGGCACTCCTCGAGACAGGTCTCAGCCACAGCCTGATTGAAGCACTCAACCCAAAAAGGATCTTTTACCCTAAGCCCCTAGACGCCTTGAGCCGGAGCCGTAAGCCCTAAACCCCAAGCCCTAAACCCCGAACATGAAACCCTGAACCCTAAACCCTGAACCCCCAATCCTAAACCCTAAGCCTTAAACTCCTTGCCAGGTCTTAGGGACCCTCTTCGGCGAAGTCCTTCGTGAGCCGCTCCCCGAGGGAACGATCAAGGAGGCCCTTGATGCTAGTGTTTATTGGGTGGGTTTAGACGGGGTGGGGGTAAGGGGTTTAGAGGTGACGAGAAGAGAAAACGGACAATGACGTGGAAGTTGTCATCAAGGATGAGGGCAAGAGATGTGGGTTTGGGGAAATTGATTTTGCGTTTGGAGCTTGGGATTTGGGCTTGAGGCATCGGATGGCGGGGTTTGGGTGGGTTCGGGGCTTGGGATTTTTAGGCTTGGGACCTTGGATGTTGGGGTTTGTCGGGTTTGGGGCTGAGGGTTTTAGGGTTTTAGGCGGGCCTACGGTGCGACGCCAGCCCTGAACCCAAAAACCTATAAACTGGACCCTATCAACCCTAAACCCTAAACCTTATAAACCCCAAATCCTATAAGCCCTCTAATCCCTGAACCCTACAAACCCCAAAGCCCCACACACCCTAAATCCTCTAAACCCAGTATAAACCCCACAAATCCTAAACCCTATAAACCTTAAACCCTGTATGAGAGGCTCATGGTAAGCCCCCGGCTTTGCCGTGTTTATAGGATTTATAGGACCTAGGTAAACTGTATGTCCTTCTTTTTGGGCATGTTCCTTGAATCTTACAACCTAGACCTAAACCCTAACCCAAAACCCTAACCCCTAAACCCTAGGCGGCTTCGGGTTGAGGGTAAGAGGTAGGACCTCCAAGATGCAGACCAGGGATGTATAGAGTAAGGAATTCGAAGGTGTAGGGTTTACCGATCAAATAGCCACCACTCGCTGTTAGAACCTCTAAGAACGCGTAGGAGTAACGGGAGTGCAGGAAAGGCTTTGAAGCTCGGATAGAGCTAAAAGCTGTTATACCATCATACGAGATGCATAGGATCGCGCGGTTATGTAGCAGGCCTAGGATCCTGCCATTGTTTAGCACATGAAAGATCATGCAAAGTCCTGGTTAGCAGCGCAGTCTAGCGTATCTCATGGCTTTGCGCGGAATGTGCACATTTTCAGAAGCATCATATGCGGATTTATATGGCCCGGCTTTCGAAGCTCTATAACCCAAAACCCTAAACTCCTACCCAGGGGGTCCATGTAGCTATATATTTTGTACTTGGGCCCCAAGGTAGTTGTATGGAAGCCCCTTGAGGCCTTACCGATATACTATGTACCTACCCTAAACCCTAAATCCTAAACCCTAGACCCCACATCCTATGTTATGTACCTACATGCACGCTTTGGGTGCCGTCCCTTCAAGAGACCTTGCATTGAGGATTGAGATGGGTATGTGGCATCATCACGGGCTCTACGCTTTAGGGTTCAAAGATCAGGGCTTATGGCGTAGGATCTACAGATACCTTCCCAACAATAAGTCCGGCCTGGAGCCCCAAAGTCAGACGAAATAACGGCCGATTCTGTCTAGATTGTTTGGGCCAGTAGTGTACCTACTTTTAAGGAAGCCTAAACCTTACACCCTAAATCCTAAACCCTAAACCCTAAACCTTAAACCATAAGCCCGAAACCTTACACCCTAAACCTTAAAATCTAAAGCCTAAACCTTAAACCCTAAACCTTAAACCCTAAACCCTAAATCCACAAACCTCCTCCCACGGTCCCATTTTTTAGGAGCCGCAGGTGCTGCTGACCGGCCAGGTGTCCTTTGCTGAGGCTGTGAAAAAGGCGGCCGCCGGCGAGAAGGCCCATGAGGGTTTAGGGTTTCCTTTGGGTTTAGGGTTGAGGGTTTAGGGCTTAGGGTTAAGGATTTAGGGTTTAGGGTTCTTAGGGTTTGGGGTTTAGGGTTCAGGGGTGAGGCTTTTGGGGGCTGTTTTGCCTGTGAACGGGATTGTCAAGAGAGAATGCTGGGCTAGGTGTTTGCATCAAAATTCTCCACCAAAGGGTCCTGGGGCAAGACGCCCTGCTTTCGAGAAATTCCCAAGTGCATTTTGCACGCCAGCCGCAGGGAGTTCTTTGGAAGCTTTGGCTGGGCGCCAGCTCCCTACTAGACGGGGAACTCAAAGGGCCGGAGTACCTCAACCCTATATCATTCAGATATACACCCTATACATCCCCTATATAAGCCAACCCTAAACCCTGACCCCTAACTGGATGATGGCAAGAACCCAAGGCAGGAGCAGTAGTTCAACGTGAGAGGCCCGCATGGTAGTTGGACAAGATCTGCCAGTACGCCCACAACCTGAAAGCCACGTGCCACGCAAGGGCTAGGCTTCCATACATTCAGTCAAGTATCAAACTGAGCCGCAAACTATGTAGAATAACAGCCTTTTTGGTCATATTTCGGTGTTATTGGCTATGTTTTTTACTTACCTTTTGGGTTCAGGAAATACGTTCTGCCTGTTTGACCCTGAATCCTAAACTAAACAACCCCGACCAGCCTTGTAACCATGGATGCAGGAAGTCTTGCACCACTCCAAACACACTAAAGACTTGGGAAATCCAGCGATCCAGCGGTCTTATGTTGACTTTCACCACCAGTAGTAGATCAGGGGGTTCTTAGGATGCATCCGTTTTTTTCTGTTGTGGGTGTGCTAGGAGTGGGGAGCTTGCGGAAACTACCAGGTATCCAGTGCCACGATGCGAGGCGGTGAAGCTAGGATCATACGTTCTGTAGTTTAAAGCCCTTAAAGGGGTTAGAAAGGGGATTATATAGGGGGGCTCTTATAGGGGTTATTAAGGGTATACTGGGAGTTTAGACTATGGATCATATAAGTTCTTGTTTCTGCCCGCCAGGTGGAGCTTACTCCTCCCTCGTACTTTGCGACGGCCTACGGCGCAGTGGATGGCATTGTACCGTATGACAGAGGTGGTGGAGGGCCCGGGGACCCAGTCTTAAGTCTTAGCAGGAAGATAGGTTGCCACAATTAGGAGTGGCCCTGTTCTACATGGAAGTATGTCGCAGTATGGCATGTTTCTCCGGTTTTCGGGAGGTCTGGGGTTCGCTGTTTCAACTGCTCGTGAGGTTCGGGTAAACCCCAAGAACAATCAGAAGGGGTCCTTCTCTCAACTCTTTTGCCGCCTAGGCTTGGTTCCTTTAATGTATGTAGGGCAAAGGTGCAGGACGTTGAGATTGCAGGGGTAACCAGGCCCTCTCAGAATGAGTATGTCAATACCACCATCCATTGCTGAGTAGCCCAAATTTGTTAGCGGCCATGGTTAGTAGCTCTCTTGAGAAATGCTCACATCAATTTTGGGGGATTAGTCACTTGTCTTCAATGCCCCATAGTCAGGGCGCCTATTTGGTGATCCAGTTTCCTACAGGGAAGGAGATGTGCCCCAGCCCTAAACCCTATGCTCACTACAGGAGTGTCAAAAGTCTAGGGATCCTCAAGCAGTCCTCAGTATCTACGGTTTCAAGAAGTATGGGCCCCTATTATGGTAAAAGGACTCTTAAGCAGACCCCCGAAAAGGTATCATTTGTCGATTTAAGGGGCAATGTGGCTTGGGGATTCCTGGGGAGTAGTGACCCGGTGGTAAGTGCAATGCACGGAGAACCTCCCATGAGCCTGCTGGTAATTGCACTCTATCTGTTTCTGATCTCCTTTATACAAAACCCCGAAAGGGTGTAGGGTGTAGGGGTCTACATGAACACCCAGAGTATGTAGAATAAAGGCTTTTTGGGTTCTGTTCGAAGGTGTTGGGCCATTATTTTACCTACTTTTGGGGTTTGGGTGGAATTTGAATTCAAGTCCCTTGCCGCAACTCAGGGGAAGGCAAAACTCCCGCGGGCGCCAGCCAAAGGGCGCGTCACGCCCTCAGACACAGGTCTTTGGGTTTAGGTTTAGGACTCAGGATTTGAGGTTTTGGATTCAGGGTTTAGGGTTTCGAAATTTTGGGTTCAGTGTTTAGGGTTTAGGGTTAAGATTCAGAGTTTAGGGTTTCAGAATTTAGGCTTCAGGGTTTAGGGTTTGCAGGAAGCCAAAAGCATGTAGAATAAGAGCTTGTCTGGTTCTCTTTATGGGTTTAAATTTGCTATTTTTATACCTACTCTTGAGGTCCAGGTATAGCTTGTATCTTCCCAGCTCCCTTCAAACAGCCTTCAGGGTAATTGCAACCCTTATTTGGATACGGATGCGGTGCTGCGAGGAAGTGCATGGTCAGCTCTGACTATTCTGATATTTTTTGGTTATGACTTTTTTTGCAGCTTCTAGTATACTTATATAGTAGAAAGTTCTATTATTATGATTCTTACTATGATTAGGTCAGCTCTAACTGAATCCATGGCCGCTAGCTTGCAGAAGTTTCACCCTGAGGCCATACGATAGGCCGAACCCCACGGTGGTGGTAGCGGTGGGGGGCCCGAGCAAGGAAGCAGCTGCTGGGTTGAGCACGCTGGGTTGAGGGGAAGAATGGATTAAGATGGGTCAAGACTGAAGGTTTAGGCCACTTGGGGTATCAGGGGCCCAGGGTGGTTTAGGGCTTAGGGGTTGGGGTTGATTTGGCTAGTATGGGGTGGTTGGACATAGGATTCTCATGTTGCCTACTAGGTCCTGCAGCTGATCTTGGAGTTGTGTAGATCTGGCAGCAGCGGTTGTTGAAGAACCCTTTGTAAGTCTAAGTAGGGTACTAACCCCTACACCCTAAATAGATACTGCAACAGTGTTAGAACCATGATTTCTTCCTCCGTACTACCATGAAGTCATGGGATTTGATCTGGGGATTGCTGATCACATACGGCATCCCAACCCAGACCCCTGGGAGGATCTGAAGACCAGATCCTTCTAACAAACCTGTAAAATTCTCCTTGTTCAAGGGCATCTACTTTGCGACGAGCCTTCAACCCTACCCTTACCTTACTGTAGAGGCAGTGGCAGGGTGAATGGAGCAACAGCGAGAGCGCCAGCTCCACGCACAGCAGCAAGCTGAGCAGCTGGAGCAGCAGCTTGCGGATGAACGACAGATGCACGCGCAGCAGCTTGCGGAGAAAGAGCACGAGCTAGAGCGTTTGCGCTTGCAACACGCACACGAGATGCAGCTCCAGAAAGACGCGCACCAGACGCGCCAACTCGAGGCGCGCGAGCAGGAGCAACTGGCGCATTTGGGAGATTATACTCCGAAGTTTAGTGACCATGGTGGAAGATACCTTGCATGTGCTATGAGACTAACACCCAGTATGCGGAATGTTTAAGTAAAAGTTTCTCAATAACCTACCAATAAGCAACCAAAAGCCGCTAAACCCTAAACCCTATAACTCTTACCAGAACCCCTACTATCAGGAGCTTCGGGCGTGAAGCATGTTTGGTTCTAAATCTGCTGCGCCTAGGAGTGCAGGCCCTTAGCTCGGGGTTAGGGTTTAGGGTTAGGGTTTAGGGTGTAGGGTTCAGGGTTTAGGGTTTAGGGTTTAGGGCTGGGGGCAGTTTAGGGCGAGCCTGTAAAAGCACAAAGGCTTCAAACGATGAACTTCAGGTGGTTGAACTTCAGGTGGCTCAGCCAGGAAGAGTTGGCAGTGCCCCTAAAACAAGGGACCCCAATAATAGACCCCAAAATCATATAATCCTTCTTATAGGGACCCCCAAAAAGGCACCCCTCATTTTGGGAACCCCGTTTATTTCGGAAGCTGGAAGTTGATGTCTGGTCTGCGTGCACAGTCAAAGCTGAAAGCTCGAAATCTGCAGCAACATGTCCTGGGTCCCAGCCCCACTGTTTAGGGTTTAGGGTTAACCCATAGCCCAAATTTTCAACCACAACATCCGCCAAGAGTGGGTTCCCAACGTGTCTCGAGGGAAAACACCTATTTCACCCGGCGTGCCTAAACCCTAAACCCTACATCTTAAACCCTGAACCAGAAGTCCTTAACCATAATTTCCAAACCCTACACCCTAAATCCTAAACCCTACAGCCTAAATCCTAAAACCCTACACCCTAAATCCTAAACCCTACACCCTAAATCCTAAACCCTACAGCCTACACCCTTAATCCTAAATCTTCAACAATTGCTTGTAGAAGCCCCAAGCCTCAAGCCGAACCCTAGCGATTCGAATAGCCCAAAGTAATCAGCAGTCATTGACTTTAGGAGGGCCCCGTGCAGGTAGCATTTATAGACTTTAGGGCCCGATTTAGGCAGGATTTTGGGTTTGCTTTGCGGCTGGTCTAGAGCTCTCTGAGCGCACGATGAATCCAAAGGGATTTTGGGTTTAAGGTTTAGGATTTGAGGTTCAGGATTTGAGGTTTAGGGTTTTAGGATTGAGGGTAGACTCCGGCGCCCAGAGTAGGTGTTATTTCGTCACTTGGATTCCCACGGAAGGCGTCAGGAAGGATGCTGAGCAAAAAGGATGTCGCTAAGTATTCTGGGCTATTAGATCCTGAAGTTCATAAGTTGGACCCTTGTAAGGGTGCATCAAGAAGTCTCCTCAACCCCGAACCCTAAGCCCCCAAACCCCAAACCCCTTGACCCTGAACCACATGGCCGGGGTAGATTAAGAGATTTCGATTTTCTTCTCACTCGTCCTGCTAGGGGGGAGGCCTGGGGCCATGTCTCTCCAAGGGATTAGGGTTTAGAGGTTTAGGGGTTGAGGGTTTGGGGTTTAGAGGTTTAGGGGTTTAGGGGTTTAGGGTTTAGAGGTTTAGAGGGTTTAGGGGTTTGGGGTTTTTGGGTTTAGGATCAGGGTTCAAATTGGTGCCGCTCCATTTTAGTATTAAATGCCTGCGAATCAATACCGACATCACTCCTACAGTAGATTTGTACATCCTAACCCTAGATCACCTGAGACCCCTAAAAAGACTCGAAAGGTTAGCCCGGACTCTAAGCCCGATAGGCCTGGTAAATCCCACATCCGATGCTCACTCAGAACCTCCTACGTAATTTTTCTTGGGAGGTAGATCATACTCACTTACCAAAAGCCCGGAACAAACCCAAAAAGGTATTATGTACATATGGAGCCTTCCCATCTATAAATTTCCCCTAGAGTGTAAAACCCTAAACCTTAAACCCCAAACCCTGAAGCCCAACACCAAGTGAGGTTGCCAGCCCTACGCCAAACACGCGCGGGGAAGCCCAGATGAGTTAGGGTCTTCTATTTCTCTTCTAAGGTACACATGTAACCCAACCATCTGCAGCTTTATGGGCCAGATGTGCTAATTAACGGGACTACTAAGCTGTAGGGTGTTCGGGTTACAGGTATAGGTGCCAATTAAGCTGCAAACAGAGGGCGCTTTTGTTGATGGTTTGACCACAAACCCTCATTGCAAACGCAGCGAAGCATTGTGTTGAGCATTTAATTATACTGGACAAGCTATTCGGAGAAATTGACAATGCTCCATGGGGAGCGTGGCACCGACAGCCAACACATATTCCCATGTTTTCCACGTGACACTGGCTCCAGGGCTTTTCTGCTGACTTGCGCTTTCCATCCGGCGTTGCTGTGCGGAGGTGTCCCAGGGGGACCTCTGTGCCAGTGGCAGGATCAAGCCAAAACTGTACCGGGACCTGCTTGCCTCGACGATGCCTTGCGTAACAACATCTCCCTTGCGGCACATGCCTGCCAACCCCAACCCTTAAACTCAGAGCCTCAATCCTCTAAATTCTTACCCCCAAGCCCTAAACACCCCAACCCTAAACCTTCAACAGACACCCGAATACTAAAGCTCCAGCACCCCAAACCGCCCAAGGGCTACATCCAAAAGTTACCCATTTTGACCCCCCAAATCCCTAATCCCATACACCCTGAATTTCTGAAACCGCACAGCCCTAAAGCCCTGAAGGTCCGGGAGCCGGCGCGCCCGCAGCGGCGCAGCCGGTGGCGGCGCATCCGGCGGCCGCAGCCGCTGGGAGCTCCAAGGGGTAGGAGGGAAATGCCCAAGTTATAGGGTTTACATAGGGTTTGGGGTTTTGAATTTAGGGTGTTATGATTTGTGTTTTTGTACTTCCTTTTTAAAAACTGGTTTTGTTAATATGATAATGGATTATGAGTGTATGAAAGGTTCCTGAGGAATATTGGTACCTGTATAGAAAGCCCGTCAACTAAGATGAGATAGTTCAGAGTGTACAGGGATATAGACGGATGTAAGGGGAGGAGTGAGAAAGACAATGGAAGCACAATTGGCACCAGAAGGTGGTAGGAGATAGAGTTTTAAGGGCTCAGGGAATGTAGGGCTTTAGCGTACGTAGAGTTGTTAGGGTTGCTTGGGCTGCTTGGGGTATACAAGGGTTTCACGCTTTAGGGGCTTTGGGCTTTAGGTCAGAATGTCATGGTGTAGGGCTTCATGTATCGTAGGGTTCGGGGCTTTGGGTTTAGGATGTTTTTTTCGTGTTTCAGGATGTAGGGAGACTTAATGGGGTGTGAGGGTCTTCAGGGTTCAGGGGAAGAGAGCCTAAACCCTAAACCCTAAAAACTAAACCCTAAACCCTAAACCTTTGGGGCTTACATCAGGGCCGCCGGAAGCTTGCTGAGGGTCTTATCAAAAGGTGCCTCAGACAGTTATGAAGGCCCTAAGCCCTAAACCCCTAAACCCTAAACCCTAAAGTCTCCAGATACCCCTTGAGATCCTAGGGGTGTCCCCCTAAACCCTAAACCCTAAACTCTAAGCCGAAACCATGCGCCCTTAACCCTAGGATCCTTACATACCTACTATATTCCCTATATGTACCCTTAAGGGCCCCAGAATCCCCCTAAGAGGCCTTATTGCCCATATTAGGGGCCCATACTTTTCACCTTACCCTATGCCCTGGACCCTGGACCCCAGGGTTCAGGGTTCGGGGCTTAGGGTTGAGGGTACTCCCAATGTCACCAGCTAGGGTTGCCACGACGGCTTAGGGCTTAGGGTTTAGGGTATAAACTTAGGCATACGTCTAGGACACCTCCGGGTGGGCAGTTACCAGGTGGTCACACACCATATCCGGCTCATATAAGGCTTGTATAACATGTACTGCGGCTATAAGGGGTCGATTTGAGCTTCTATCAGGGCCCTCAGCTGATAACTAATTACCCACGTGGAATTTGTTTGAATACGAGCCGAAGCACTTCAACCCCTTGCGCTAAAACGGTGGCGAAGAGCCGTAGAACTCCAACACGAAACCTGAAAGCGTAAGCCTAATCCTGGGGCTTCAACGAGCTTAATGTAGATGGGAGTTTCCGAAATTAGGTGCACCCCATTGGGGGTCCCCTATGACAAGGGTTATAGCATTTTAGGGTCTATATTTGGTTCACCCAAAAATAGGGAAACCACCACATGTGCGTGGGCGTGGTTTTACATTTCACGGCCCAATGTGGGTACCATTTAGACTAAAGGCAACTCCTTCCTGGACCCGAAAAGTATGTAGAATAATTGCCTTTTTGGCTGTTAGTATGGGC